TGGAGGCGTAGGTTAGCTGCGGTTGAAGTACCACCTTGATAAGCGTTCGCTTATTCCTTAAACTGAGGGTGTTTCCACCTTTAAACGCAACCGATGTCGACGGATGGACTAGAGATGGGCGCGAGTGTCATTTCATTTCTTTAGAACTAAATTAACTTAATTATTTTCTCGTTATTTAACCTGTTCACATGATTTATGGATTTTAAATAAAGGGTACAAATCTTCGCGAGGATAATACGATATATTTGCTATACATAATAATTATATTTTGCATAGTTTATACACAAATACATTTTTGAACGCGTACACATCTCTACCAAAATTTGACCTATTCTTCGGGTTAAAGACACACATTGTCCGCTCCGCTCTCTAGTGATTACGCATGCTTATGAATCCAGACATATTCAGCAAAACAAATGTCCCTTTTTGTTCTTTCTTTGTTGATTTACTTAATATTTATTTCATTTGTTTAAGTTTAGAGTGAGGAGTTCGATCTAAAATCTGTGTTGTAGAATAATGCTAAGAAAAACGGATAATTTTGGGAAACAGTTTTGCAGGCTATGTTTCAGTATTATAAATGATGAACGTTTTGAAGAGATAAAAGACGTCATGAGGTATATTTTAGATGTCCTTTTATTGAAACTGGTAGGTTAGGTTTCTAGTCTAGACTATGTTTTGGAGCAAAGAATTGCAAAGCACATGCCATACCGAAAATTTCATTTTTATTCATTACAAATGCTAATTTAAATTTCAGGATCTCAATGACAGAAGCGAACAAATAATTTGTAATGCTTGTTCTTTAAAAGTAATGGAAGCATTTAAATTTAAGTCAATGTGTCTGTACCCTGATAATACCATAAATCCTTATGTCAATGACGAAACAGGATATTCTGTTGATTTAAGAGAAATTTTTGCAAAGGAAAAAGGAAAAGAACAATTAATAACCACATTAGATCACACAATATGTCGATTATGTACTCAGATAATCAAAGAACAATTTATATTGGTACAAGAAGTAGATGTTGATATGATCAACATGTATATACCAGAAATAGTAAGTAAGTCAGTGCTATGAGAGTTATATACAGTATGTAGTGTGTTCTACTTTTACCAGAACCACGGATATTTATATATTTTTGAGGTCAAAATAAGACTTCCTATAAAATAAAATAAATTATAAAATTTTTCACCGTAAAGAGTTATAAAATTTGAAATTATGGTGTACATTTAACTCTTCATCGGCCAATATCTCGGAACCAGTTGGTCTGAGAGATTTCGACTTTTTATTGCATAAAATTAATGGGGAAATAAACCCACTAATACGAAACGTCAATGTACGGGGTAGCAAAAAAACTAGGGCCAATTTAATTCAAGCGTACCCTTACAGGTGGCACCCTCTACAAGCAGCATCAATGCCATTTAAATTTGGCATCCTAAAAACCCCCGTACCCTAAGTTTTATGCGAACATTCAAATTTATTTGGAAATTATAGGTACCTAAAAAATTAAAAAAAAACACCCTGTATATCGAAAATTAAGCATTTGTAAACCCATGTTTATTATTAAAAAAGTCTTATTTTGACCTCAAAAATACACCACTAAATTCTTTGTACTGAATTTTGATTCAGCCTGTAAACCTTGTTTTTTAAAATGATAAATAATAAATTTATTATTGATAACTAATATTGGTACCAATATTGAAATAATTACTTAAGTATATAAAAAAAATTAATTTAAAATATGAACTTGAAAACAAATGGAGATATAACAAAAATCCATGTGAAAATAAAATTATGGTTGTAGTACCTATTTAAAAATAAATGTATATAGAGAAAACAAACAAAAGAATATAAAAATATAAAATGGGGTATGTAGCATAAATATATTGAAATAGTTACTTATTAAGTATGGTAATTTTTTATTTCAAAATTTAGAGGTGAAAGAATAAAGATATAAAATTTTTTATGAAATAAATAAATGAGTCGACTTGGAATAACGTAATAACATGGTTACACATAAAAATATAAGTTCTGTAATGTTGTATGCCATGCTTTAAACAAATATGGTCAATTATTTTCTTATATGTAAATTATCACGTCTTCGATATTCAAAACAATGACTTGTTTTGCTCTTAATCGACCAAGAACCGCACCATCTCTTGGTTGCTTGTTTTCGCCAATAAATAGAAAGAATTTTTTCTGATCTAATGTCCAATATAAACTTTATTGAATAGAAAAATATGATGGAGTAATCTCTATTATAGTTTTTAAGTAGGATTGACAAACATTTTTTTTTCTAATCGAAAATATTGTGTTGTCAGTTATTGTTCTAATTGATGGTTTTTGTAGAACTTCCTCATAACCAAAAATCCTACCATTTGTAAGCAATGTTTTGATTCTATTGGCATCCACAGTAATTTCATTAAGAACTGTTTAAAAGTAGAGGAAAAAATCAAATGTTTTCCTCCTGGCTCTCTGTGGACATTAGCATTTGATTCGTGCGTTGAAACTAAAGAGATTGGATTAAAACTTGAAAAAAACGAGTATGAGGATTTGATCAAAAGTAATTTTACTGCAGAGAAATCGAAGGACGAAGATGAGACCACTATTAAAACTGAGTGCATTGATATAAAATCAGAATATGATAGTGAGAGGTATGTTATTCAAAGTTGTTGAGATGTTGGTATTTTATTAATTAATTTAGGTGTTTTGTAAATCTGCGATGCAAGTGATAACTTAAGAGATTCTGTTACAATTTCGCAACTGGACATTGCAGAAGTGAAAGAAAATAAAATAGGATGCAGATTTTAAAAATGTAGTATAATTTCATTAATCCGGCACGATTAAAAACCTAAGGGTGCTCGAGTACTGGAAAATTCGAAATAATGGAATATGTATAATATAAATAGTATTAAATTAAAAAACATTACTTTTAATTGTTTATTAACAAGGAGCTTGGTACATAGATACATACATATTACATTTGTGTGAGCATATGTATGTATATTGTAATGTTTTTATTTTTCTGTAAAAAAATCTTCCAACTAAACTTTAACTGTATAAAGTAACCTGTATTCTTCAAGGATAGTAGATAAAAGTGGAAAAAATAATTACTGGACGTGCCAGTGTAATGAAGTGCCGGATTATAGAGATTCTACTGTACAAGGATATTTTTTTTTTCGTAAAGACCTTTGCAAATTTGATAATAAATTCTGATAGTTATACATTTATACTTGTTAATACAAACACCTTTGTATATATCCCTAAATGCATCTAATTTTATTAAAAAGACTGATTGGTTATACTAAAGCAAAATAAATAAATACAAAAATACTTCCAAATAAGCTAAACACATTTGTAATTATAACTGAATTTTTAAATAAGTGTACAAATTTTAACGAGTGTAACTTCTCAGTTTAATCATAGTAATCTTTGTAATTTTTAATATTAATTAAAATATTTTAATTTAAATTTTTCAGTGGCGCATCTCTGGACGTTTTGCCCCATAGTTCAGCACACGATACCATTTCCACAATAAAAGAAAGCAAACCTATACTCAAGACACATGTAACGGAACTCAGACACCCCCCAAGGAAAAAAGTACATGATTTTGGAAAATCTGGCTACAAAACTGCGAGTGAGAAGTGCCTAGCAATTCACCAATCGGTACACAACGAGGCCCTTGGGGTGCAAATGTACAAATGTGATACTTGTGATTATATCACCATTCACAAAAGTATCTTGACATGCCATCAAATAGGACATAAGGATCCCCTAGAAGTCCCAATTTTGAAATGCGACACAAACGGTTATGAAACCAATTGCAAAAGCATTCTTACAGACCACACGTTGACACACAAGGAACCTTCTCAAAAACAAATATTCAAGTGCATTTACTGCCAGTTCGAGTCGAAATCTAAGAGGGGAATAAGCCGTCACATTTTTATCCACGAAGGAAGATTGCTCGACCCCAAGGAAGCCACGAAGATAATGCATATGTTAAGACTCAACAAGCCGTTTTCTATTAAAAAGCTTACTTGCGAGATATGCAACTTCACGACCTTGAACAAGTCGAAGTTTTCTGACCACCAGTTGCGGCACAAAGGGGAGAAACCCCACACATGTAACGAGTGCGACTATAGAGCGTTGAGGAAGAGTTCGCTTAAGGTACATCTGTTGTCACACAAAAAGCCGTCAGAACTACCCTTATATAAATGTGATAAGTGTGACTACGAAACGAAACAAAAGGGCAGTCTTATGAAACATCAAATAAGACACAAAAGTGCTTCTGAGGCAAATATGCACAAGTGCCTGTACTGCGCCTACGAAACAAAATACAAACCTGTTTTAAAGGACCATATCATATACCTACACAGAAGTAAACTGCTCGATTCCGAGGAGAATTTGAGGGTAAAGCATGTTTTAAAGCTCAGAAAAGTCATAACAGTGAAAACATATAAATGTGACAAGTGTGACTATGAGACAGTACACAAGAGGGAGTTCGCAAATCACCAGTCAAAGCATGGCATACTGAGTTTGCGCTATAGGTGTGAGGAGTGCAGTTACGCAACCATGTACAAGAACCATCTTGTGTCGCATCAACTGTCACACAAGGAAGCATCTGAGGTGCCCGTGTACACATGTGATTTGTGTTATTTTGAAACTAAGTACAAACGGAGCTTTGATAAGCACTACTTGAAGCATGGGAATCCTTCAAAGGCAGAAATATATCAGTGCAAAGAGGATAGTTAGGAGAGTAAGTACTAGAACAATTTCATTGTTGTAGTTGATGCAAAAGGATCCTTTGGAAGTTAAAATATGCAAGTGTGGTAAGAGTAGTTACGAGAGCAGGTGTAAGAGCTGTCTCATATTTCCCTTGTCAAGAGACAAAACGATGCAGAGGTGCAAGGAAAAGAATGTGTTTTGGACAGTGGGCTGTATGTAACTAAGGGAGAGTTGGGTAAAAATCGATACTTAGTGTTAAATATTTAATAATACTTTTATTACATATATGCAAAAGAACAATATTTGATTTTATTTCACTAACATCATCTATTTCCACATTGTTATCCTGTTTTGAAATATTGAAAATAGAGAAAATATATAGTCGATAGATTTCTTTTTTTTGGGTACCGGTTGCAGTGTGATAACCATTAAAAATTAATAGAAGACACAGCAATTTTTTTATTTTCACGTTTCGCTCGCAATCGAAAGCTTTTTAGAAAATATTTTAATCTAAATTCGCTTTACATAATCATTTAATTAAAAATTCCTGAAACAATATACCAATAATTAATAATATTTTAAATTTATAAATTATACTATTATTTTAAAAATAAAAAAAGTAATTTTAACAATATTTTTGTGTGTAGATACCCAAAACAACCATTTAATTATTTAATTTGTACTTATTATCTTTACAGCTGAGTATTTATTATTTACCAGTAGGTATGCCAATAAATTTGCTATTTGTAGAAGATAATAGTGTAAACAAAAACAAATCATTTTTGGGAAAAGTACTATTTAGTACGAAATTTAAATTTACCGCCCGATTTAGTTTTTATTTCAACAACAGATGGCGGAACATGGTCCGTCGGTAATACATAGAACTTGGATTCTATATCATTACTAGGTTGACCTGGCAAACGTTGTTTTGCCATATAAATTAATCCTAGGATTATTTTTGTAGTTTTTTCATAAAGAAATTTCACTTCTACCATCTATATTATATTTAGTGTTATTCAGTGTATATCGTGTATATATTTTTTCTTAATAGTAATAGTAAATGTCATTATTACGGTTGATGCACAAACAATAATAATAATGGCCGAAAACTGTAGGGAGTGAGAAACGGCTCATTGTGTGAGAGAGATCTCATCCCTACTCCGTGCTGTTTACTGGGTCAGAAGTGACACCGGTCGACGCCTGGCGGGGATAAAAAAAATGATCAAGTGATAATTGATCAGTTATCGACCGGGGTTGAAAATTATTGAATTACTAATATCGCTATTAAAAAATAAGGGTTGATGGTAGAAGGGTGAAAATTTAGGATTGTATGTATTTTTTAAGGCCACATCATAAAAAAATAAAAAAATAAAATTTTGTCCAAAAAACAACAA